AGAAAGAAAGAAAGAAAGAAAGAAAGAAAGAAAGAAAGAAAGAAAGAAAGAAAGAAAGAAAGAAAGAGAAAGTGAAAGAGAGAGACAGAGAAAGGGAGAAAGAAAGAGAGAGAAAAAGAAAGGAAGGAAGAAAGAAGGAGGGAAGGAAGGGGGGGGAGAGAGAGAGGGAGGGAGGGAGAAAGAGTGAGAGAGAGAAAGGAAGAAATTTTTATGGCAGATTGCCAGGAATTTTATGTCTGCTAAATCTAAGAATAAAGACCAGGACTTGTGTTTTTGACTGACTTTAGAATTTCATTTTTCTAACAAATTTTGCATTTTATAAAATGTCAGTGATTGATTAGAAATTTAAAAACCTCATCCTTGGGACTTCTCTGGCAGTCCAGTGGTTAAGACTCCACGCTCCCAATGTAGGGGACCTGTGCTCGATCCCTGGTTGGGGAACGTAAGATCCCACATACCACACAGTGTGGCCAAAATACAAAACAATAAAACAAACAAACAGAAAACTCATCCTTCCATGAAGCTGGGGAAGGAATAACCTAGAGCAGTAATTCTCAGTGGAGAAAACCTGACCACTTCGGGGGTGGTTTTAGAAAGCTGTGGGTCCTTTGGGGTGGGGGAAGAGGGCCTCACGAACACTGGACGGGCAGAGACCAGATATGTCACACATCCTGATTTGTGCAGGACAGCCTCACACAGCGGAGGCACCCCAGCCCTGCACAGCTCTTCAAGGTCCTTGACATATATATACATAAAAAGCCCATTTTTTCTGAGCATATACCCTTAGTATTTATTGCTCAGTTTTAATATATATTCTATCTTCCAAAACTGCAACCACCATGTAAATCAATATACAATTATATTTTGACCTGCTTATCACCACTATAGAAAACCACTTAACTGAGAGCAACACAACGTCGAGTCACCCATGTCATACCTGTATATTATTAGCACCAGTACTGGTCTGCTGAGGATTATTCTATAATAATACAAGTACTGTACAAGTACTTGATTATTTCACTGTGCCTCAAGCTCTGGTCATGCCCAAGTGTTTATGTACTGAAAAATTACTTTGTATAAACGAATTCCCTTTTATTTCTTCTTTCTGGTATGTCTAGGACATTATATTGATTTTTAAATTTTAATTTTAAAGATTTAAATACATATATAATTATATTTTCTGTGAATTTCACTTCAGGACTGTAATTGGGACATTAGAAAATGTTTGTTAAAAAGAGGATGCAGGGGAATTCCCTGGTGTTCCAGTGGTTAAGACTCGGGCTTTCACTGCCGCCGACCCAGTTTCAATCCCTGATCGGGGAACTAAGATCCCACAGGCCGTACGGTGCGGCCAAAAAAAATAAAATAAGCAATAAAAGCAAGCAAGCAAACAACCAAAAAGAGGGTGCAGGTCTGAGAGTTGAAAATGCAAGTCTCTTTATGTAAATATCTCAGTGTTCATTATAGGTCAAACATAGTAAGAAATTACAGTATATCTAAATAAAAACATACTGATGAAGTTAGTGTTGCAAGTCATAAATAGACTTGCAGGGGAAGTGAGAGGTCACATTCTTATTTTTACATATGAGATGACAAAACTACTGCAGTTTAAAAAGGGGGCTTTAGGGTCAGGTTGCCAGGTCTGAATTCCACTCATCCAATGTTAGCTGTAAAACCTAGGCAAGTCTCTCCAGTTCTCAGCTACCTCCCCTCCACTCCCTAAAGTCAGGATAGCACTATTTCCTTTCGGTATCTAGGGTTGGCTGGATGAATCAAATGAGACTCCTTCTGAAGAGTTTAGCATCCTGTCCTGCCCATGGTCAGGACTCCCCACGGGTATGCTATTAAGCTGATCTAAAACTTAAAGGCAGAGTAGTAAAGAAAAGAGGGGAATAAGAGCTAGGAATGTAATTGTGAGCCTAAAAATGAGTGAAAATGGACAAATCAAATATAGGACTTGTTAAAAAGAAAAAAGACTGAAATATCAATTCACTACCATCAATCCAACTAAGCTAATTAAACGATTTTAACTCTTTTTACACATACTTGTACATGGAGGAAGTGTAACACAAAACAACATTAGACCAAGAAAGAATCTATCAAGATGAACACTGATCTCTATTTGGGTTATGGTCATGTTCTGAAAAGCATCATATGACTTCATCGGTTCAACTAATACTTACTGAACACCTCCTTTTGTGTGTAAGAACCAACAACTGAGGAATCCTGAGAAGATGTCAGTGCATGTATACTACACATCTAGGGAAGACCCCAGAAAATTACAGCCTTTCTCATCCCCACATGAGAGTAACTCTAAATAGTAAGATTGTATTTTTGGGTAAGACCAAGTAGGCCATTCAGCAATACAAAAATACAAAAGGGAAAAAAATACCTCGAGGACTGAGGCAACCCTGCCTCTCTGGCTGCTGCTGCTAAAATTAGCAACAGGATGAAGAGTGCCCTGCCATTCCCACTTGGTTGACTGTTCTAAACCCCCTGCCTGGGGACTTCTCCCTCCCCCACGTTAACCCTGAATATTTTGTTCATTCATGTCAGAGGTGGGAAGCTATAGGAAAAGAGCAAAAGGGGAAGGCTTTTATAAATTTAAATGTGAAATTATCTCTCTTTTAGCCTTACACACACATCTCCAGTACTGGATCACATGGACAGTTTGAATACAAGCTTCTTTTTGTAAATGATAGCTAAGTGCCTGCTCAGCCTTAATTCAACCAAGGGTTACCTATGAGAAAAAAAAAAAAAAAACCCTTAAAGCAAGTTACTTAATAGTTACTCTATTCTTAAGAAATAAATGATTCAATATCATTTATTTCTCAAGAGATAATTTAACCTCTTGAAATTTCAAAGTAACAAGAAAACTATAAACTGAGTGGGGATAGTCTACCCTGTTTCTCCCATGGAATGAGGATAAAATCTGGACAGAATGTATGACGCAACTATTTGAAGACTCTGAAAAGTATATAAGGGACTTCCCTGGTGGCACAGTGGTTAAGAATCTGCCTGCCAATGCAGGGGACACGAGTTCCAGCCCTGGTCCAGAAAGACCCCACATGCCGTGGAGCAACTAAGCCTGTGCACAACTACTGAGCCTGCACTCTAGAGCTCGCGAGCCACAACTACTGAAGCCCACGCGCCTAGAGCCCGTGCTCCACAGCAAGAGAAGCCACCACACAATGGGAAGCCCACACACCGCAACGAAGACCCAACGCAGCCAAAAATAAACTTAAAAATAAATAAATTTATGTTTTAAAAAAAAGAAAAGTAGATGATAGCAGGTGGAGCGGGGAATTTAAAGTACCACCAAACGTGAGATGATTTATTCTGCCCTTCTTCCCTCTGGTATGCCCCAGCCTGGACTTGGGGCAGTTTAAAACTTGGAAATTGGGGCTTCCCTGGTGGCGTAGTGGTTGAGAGTCTGCCTGCCGATGCAGGGGACACGGATTCGTGCCCCGGTCCGGGACCTGTGAGCCATGGCCGCTGCGCCTGCGCATCCGGAGCCTGTGCTCTGCAATGGGAGAGGCCACAACAGTGAGAGGCCCGCATACCGCAAACAAACAAACAAACACTTGGAAATTGTTACTGAGCACAGACAGAACTCGAGGAGAAGTCCTGCAGCTCTGGCTTGAAGAGCAGGAAAGGGGTACCTAAAACTCTGATGAAGGGGAAGAACTATGGTTCCAAGGGGGTGGGTTGAATCTTATTGCTTTTTTGCCCCTGTCTTCCTGCCACTTAGCCCCAGACATGAGTGCAGTCATGAGAAGTGTACAACCAAGCAGGGTAACCAAGGCCCTATCTTTTCTGGCTGAAAAACCAGAAAGAGAAGCCCTTGAGAATCAAAGTACTAATCAGATCATGCAAAGGGAGGAGCTCAGGAAAGCAACTGCATGAAGCTGTTTAGGAAATCCTGGATTTAGCTCCAATATGCACATGCTTGCATCAGAAAACAAACAGCATACCCAAGACTTTGAGAGCAGAACCATGGGAGAGATCATCACCCAGGTCCCAAACTGGCCACCCACTGAGTGCTACTACACACAGGAGACAGAGCCAAAGAGTACTTCAAAGGCTTCAAAAATGAAGTGAAATTGGAACCATAATTCACAGAAGGCCGGCTGCAACTTGCAGCCTGAAGCCAATTGGGTCAAACTGTATTCTAAAATGAAATTATCAACATTCTCCATAGGGTTTGAACCAAGATCCAGAGTCTCATAATATTATATTCAAAATGTTCAAGGTACAATCCAAAATTACTTATATAAAGAGCTAGGAAAATCTCAACTCATAGGGGATGAGGCAATCAACAAATGCAAATGCCAAGAATGACAAAGATGTTGGAATTATCTGACAGACTTTAAAGAAACTATTATAAAAATGTTCCACAAAGGGTGAGCACTCTTGAAAAGAGCAGAAAGAAAATGTCCAAGAAACAGTAGGTATAAAAGAAATAAAAATTTAGAACCAAAACACAATAACCCTAAATAAACTCACTGGATGAACAAAATAGCAGACTGGAAACAACAAAGGAAACTGTCACTGCTCACGAAGACAGATCAATAGCAATTATTCAATCTGAACAACTGAGAGAAAAAATGCACAGAGGCTCAAAGCCCTGTGGGAAAATACCAAAAGCCTAATTTACGTTATCGGTATCTCAGAAAGACAGGAAAAAGGAAAAACACTTGCTGAACATATCTTTGAATAAATGGTTACTGAAGTGCTCACTTCAGCAGCACATATACTAAAAATTGGAACAATACAGACAAGCTCAGCATGGCCCCTGCTCAAGGATGACACACAAATCCGTGAAGCGTTCCATATTTCCTAAAGACCTAAATGTAAGGCCAGACACTATAAAACTCTTAGAGGAAAACATAGGCAGAACACTCTATGACAAAAATCACAGCAAGATCCTTTTTGACCCACCTCCTAGAGAAATGGAAATAAAAACAAAAATAAACAAATGGGACCTAATGAAACTTAAAAGCTTTTGCATAGCAAAGGAAACCATAAACAAGATGAAAAGACAACCCTCAGGATGGGAGAAAATATTTGCAAACGAAGCAACTGACAAAGGATTAATCTCCAAAATATACAAGCAGCTCATGCAGCTCAGTATCAAAAAAACAAACAACCCAATCCAAAAATGGGCAGAAGACCTAAATAGACATTTCTCCAAAGAAGTTATACAGATTGCCAACAAACACATGAAAGGATGCTCAACATCATTAATCATTAGAGAAATGCAAATCAAAACTACGATGAGATATCACCTCACACTGGTCAGAATGGCCATCATCAAAAACTCTACAAACAATAAATGCTGGAGAGGGTGTGGATAAAAGGGAACCCTCTTGCACTGTTGGTGGGAATGTAAATTGACACAGCCACTATGGAGAACAGTATGGAGGTTCCTTAAAAAACTAAATATAAAACGACCATATAACCCAGCAATCCCACTATTGGGCACATACCCTGAGAAAACCATAATTCACAAAAATAGTCATGTACCACAATGTTCATTGCAGCTCTGTTTACAATAGCCAGGACATGGAAGCAACCTAAATGTCCATCGACAGATGAATGGATAAAGAAGATGTGGCACATATATACAATGGAATATTATTCAGCCATAAAAAGAAACAAAATTGAGTTATTTGAAGTGAGTTGGATGGACCCAGAGTCTGTCATACAGAGTGAAATAAGTCAGAAAGAGAAAAACAAATACCGTATGCTAACACATATATATGGAATCTAAAAAAAAATGGTTCTCATGAACCTAGGGGCAGGACAGGAGTAAAGATGCACACGTAGAGAATGGACCTGAGGACACAGGGAAGGGGAAGGGGAAGCTGGGACAAAGTGAGAGAGTGGCATGGACTTATGTATACTACCAAATGTAAAATAGATAGCTAGTGGGAAGCAGCTGCATAGCACAGGGAGATCAGCTCACGTCTTTGTGACCACCTAGAGGGGTGGGATAGGGAGGGTGGGAGGGAGATACAAGAGGGAGGGGATATGGGGATATATGTATGCATATAGCTGATTCACTTTGTTATACAGCAGAAACTAACACAACATTGTAAAGCAATTATACATCAATAAAGATGTTAAAAAATATATATATGATTACTGAAGATTCTCCAAATTTGGCAAAAGATATAAACCTATAGATTGAAAAAGTTCAGTGAACCCCTGTGAGATAATAGAAAATACATATATTGGTCTCCCAGCCTCAACCCCTCCTCTTCCTGGCACAGAACTCCTAAAATTCTTGTAATTTCCTAAGTGATAAGAGCACTAGGTGTATCTCCTGTTCTACTGAGGAAACTCTAGGTAGGTTCTTGGATGGCTCCTGGTTGGGAGCTGGTCACCAGAAAGATCAAGCCATGATCAGAAGCCTGGAATTTTCAGCCCCGTGCCCCGTCCTCCAGAGAGGGGAGAGGCGCTGGAAATGGAGTTAATAATTGATCATGCCTACAAGAAGAAGCCTCCATAAAATCCCAAGAGTAGGAGGTTCACAGAGCTTAAAGGTGACTGAACACATCCACATAGGGAGGGTGATGTACCCCAACTCCACAGGGACAGAAGTTCCTGCACTCAGGACTCTCCCAGACCTCGCCTTATATATATCTCATTGGGCTAATCATCTGTATTTTTTATTATATCCTTTAATAAACTGGTAAATGTAAGTGAATGTTGCCCTCAGTTTTGTAAGCCACTCTAGCAAATCAGTCAAACCCAAGGAGCGAGGTCTTTGGAACCTTCTATCTATAGCTGGTTGGTCAGAAGCACAGGTGATGATAACCCAGGCTTGTGACTGACACATGCAAGGCAAGGGCAGGGTGTCGTCTTCTGGGACTACTGAGGCTACAGGCCCTTAACCTGTGGAACCTAACATTATCTCCAGGTAGAAAGTGTTAAAAATTCAGTTAAAATTGTAGGACACCCAGCTGGTGTTGCAGAGAATTGCTTGTTGAAGGGAAACATCGCCACACATTGGTGACCAGAGTGACAGAAGTGAAGTGTTCTGAGTAATAAAGGAGACACACAGGAAAAAAAAACACATAATAGGAAAGAACTGGGTTTCTCCCGACACAGGGGGAAAACTGGGTTCTTTCCCTTTACAACCTCAAACAAGATAAACCCAAAGAAATCTATCTCCAGACATATCATAAACTAACTGTTGAAAATCAAAAACAAAAAAAACCCTTGAAAGCAGCCAGAGAAAAATAACACATTACTTACCAGAAAGTGGTTCTCAACTGGGGATTATGTTGTCCCCAAGAGGATATTTGACAATGTCTGTTGACATTGTTGATAATCACAACTTGGGCAGGCAGGGAGCTGCTGGTATCTAGTAGGTAGAGACTAGAAAAAACTTAAAAGAAACACTCTACTCAACATGAAACATTTCCCAAGATATACTGTATCTGTCTAAAACAAAGATATAAAACAGGTATCAACAGATTTTAAGGAAATATAAACATATAAGGTATGTTTACGAACCATAATGGAATTAAACTAGAAGTTAATAACAAAAAGATAACTGGAAAATCTCCAATCATTTGGAAATTTAAACTACATAGTCCAAAAAAAAAAAAAAAATCCACAGGTCAAAGAGGAAGTCTCAAGGGAAATTAGAAAATATTTGGAACTGAACAAAAATTTTAAAAATACACCAAGATTTATGGGATTAAGTGCTTTAAAGGGAAATTCATAGCATCATATGTTTACATTAGAAAAAAAAGGTCTCCAATTAATAACCCAAGCTTCCAACTTAAAAAACTAGCAAAAGGAAGCACAAAATAAACCCAAAACAAGCAGAATAAATGAAATACTGAAGAGCAAAATCAATGAAAAGAAAGAAAGAAGGTAAAGATCAATGAAACCAAATGCTGTTTCTTTGGAGGAACATAAATAAATAAATTAAACCTCTGGCCAGACTGACAAAGATGATGAGAGAGACAGAGGGAAACAGAGGGGGGGCGGGGGGGGGGCAAGAGATCACAAACTACCAATATCAGGAACAGAGGAGATAACACTATAGACCCCAAGTCAATTAAAGCATAATGAGGGAATACTGCAAAACTTTACGCACCTCTATTCAACAACTTGGATGAAATGAACCAATTTTTCAGAAACTACAAATCACCAAAACTACGCAAGATAAAATAGCCAAAAAAGCCCTGTAACTATTTTCAAAGACTGAATTTGAGCTAAAAAAAAAATAAAAAGTCTTCTGAGGAAGAAATCTCTATGCTCAGGTGGTTTCACTGGCAAATGCTATCAAACGTTTAAAGAAATAACACCAACTCAGCACAACCTCTTCCAGAACACATAAGCAAGCACTTCACAAGACAGTTTGAGGGTTTGTTACCCTGATAACAAAGTCAAAGACAACACAAAAAAATAAAACTACAAACAAATATCCCTCATCAAGAGAAATACAGTAAGTTGTCAACCAAAAAGTGAGCAAACTGAATCAAGGAATATGTTCAAAGAATAAACGCCACAACCAAGTGGAATTTATCACAGGAATGTAAGATTGGTTCAATATTTGAAGAACAATATAATCCATCGTAGTAACAGCCTAAAACAAATGTATGCTCATATCAATTTTTGCAGAAAAAGCATTTGACACAAACCAACATTCACTCATTATAAAGACGGTCAGCAAACTAGGAATATAAATAATATCCTCAACCACATAAAGGGCATCTACAAAAACCCTACAGCTAACATTTTACTTAAAGGTCAAAGACTGGATGTTTTCTCACAAAGGGTAAGAAAAAGGCAAGGATGTCTACTCTCATTCAAAGAACTCGGGCAGTGTAACAAGGCAAGAAAAGGAAACAAAAGGCATATAGATTGGAAAAGAAGTGAAACTATGCCAACTTGCAATGACATGATTGTCTAAGTAGAAAATTTCACACAATCTATTAAGAAAACAAACTTTTAGGGAAATTCCCTGGCGGTCCAGGGGTTAGGACTCAGAGCTTTCACTTCCAGGGCCCGGGTTCAATCCCTGCTCAGGGAACTAAAGTCCCAAGCCTTGCAGAGCAGCCAACAAAATATAACATTTTTTTTTAAACTTTTAGAACTAATTAGTTTAGCATCAATGTAAATATACTTAACATTGCTGAACAATATGCTTTAAAATGGTTAGTATAGTGAATTTTATGTGTACTTTACAGTTTAAAATAAAAAATCATTTATAACAGCAGGCCCCCCCAATTTAAATACATAGGTATGAATCTCACAAAACACATGTAGGACTTGTTGACTTCCAGCAGAATTTTTAGAACGAAAAACTGGTTCTAAAATATATATGGAAAGGCAAAGTAACTAGAATAGCTATAACAATTTGAAAAAGAATAAGGTTAGAAGAATAACACTACCCAATTTTAAGACTTACTATTTAAAGCCACAGCTGCCAAGAAAGTATAGTATTGACAAAGGGATAGCATATAAATCAACGGAGCAAAACAGAATCCAGAAATATTCACACAAACATGGCCAAATGATTTGTGACAAAAATGCAAAGGCAATTCAATGGAGAAAGGACAGTCTTTTCAACACACTGTGTTGGATTAACTAGACATCGATATGCAAAAAAAATGTGTCTGCCTAAGCCTCACACATTATACAAAAATTAATACAAAATGCATCATAGGTATAAATGTAAAACATAAGGCTAGGGACTTCCCTGGTGGCGCAGTGGTTAAGAACCCTCCTGCCAATGCAGGGGACATGGGTTTGAGCCCTGGTCCGGGAAGATCCCACATGCCATGGAGCAACTAAGCCGGTGCGCCACAACTGCTG